CCCCCCCCCCCCCCCCTCTTTTAAATTTTTATTACATCACTTATTTTAGTCTCGGTGATGTCATCACTGGGTCTCCGTGCAATGCAGGCATGGCCGGTGGGAGGAGCCGGCAGGGGGCTGTACATAGCTTCCTGTCTCATACTTCTCTCAAGAGTCCTCAACCGTGATGCAAGCAGTGGGCTGGCTCTTGGGAGGAGTTATGCAAATATCCAAATGCCTTGATGGGCGGGTGTCAGTCTGATGGAGTGGGTGTTCCTAGACAGGCTGTTTTTGCATGCAGACCACCCTAGGTAACACCCACATGCAATGCTGAGCCTCCATGATTGACAGATCTGAAATCCAATGAAGGAAAGAGGCGGGGCCAGGGACAGTCAGGCTGGGGAGATAAGAGCTAGAGGATGCCGTCTGACTTGCTGCGGGCTTCATTCTGTATTGCACACAGGGAGAGCGGACTGCTTGTCACAGTCAGATAATCCATTTCTCATAAACAAAGAGCAGATCTGCGTACGATTTCTTTCCCATTTATTTCTCTTCTTCATATTTATTATTAAAATGTTTCCAGTAAATCGAAATCTTTTTTCTTCTTTCCTCTTATATCTTTGAAGTATTCGAACGTTTACTGCACCACACCCCGTGTCCAGGAGCTCATCCATGACAAGGCGCTGCAGGACGAATGTGTGTCTTATGTCAGCAAGCCGGGTAGGTCATCGATTTGGATACATTATGGAAATATTGATGTTTTAATGTATCAAATCATTTCCATACAGAGAATATAATGACGGGAGGAACTGTATGTGTCTCATGCGTGTCTCCCCATAGCCGGACCTCTGCGCCCCTGACACCACCAGATGCCACTCTGCCACATAAAATATCTGCAGCACTTCTCTGCAATACATAGTTACATAGTTACATAGTATTTGAGGTTGAATAAAGACATCAGTCCATCAAGTCCAACCTATTAGGATCTCATTCTAGGAGTACCTGTACCCCTGTATATTACGGTCCCTTAAGAAATCGTCCAAAAGTTTCTTGAACAATTCCACATTATTTGCTGAAATCACCGCCTGTGGCAGTGAGTTCCAGACCCTAACTGATCTTACTGTGAAGAACCCCCTTCGCCCCTTGTGCTGGAATTTTTTTTCCACCAATTTTAGGTGATGGCCTCTAGTTTTTGTAACGGAGTTAATTTTAAACAGTTTATCGCTAATGTTGCTGCCACCATTGAACATTTTGTACATGGAAATCATATCCCCCCTTAATCTCCTCACCTCCAATGTGAACATGTTTAAATTTAGTAGCCTCGTCTCGTAGCTCTGGTCCTCCATACCCCTAATTAGTTTGGTTGCCCTCCGCTGGACTTTTTCCAACTCAAGGACATCTTTTCTTAGTACTGGTGACCAGAACTGGACCGCGTACTCCAGATGAGGTCGAACCAATGATCTATAAAGTGGCAAAATTATAGACTTGTCCCTGCAATACATCCCCTTTTTAATACAGGACAAGACCCTGCTAGCTTTGTTTACAGCAGCCTGGCACTGCAAGCTACCTTTCAGTTTGTGGTCTACAATGACCCCCAAATCCTTCTCCATTTCTGACTTCCCCAGCGGCACCCCCATAATTGTATAACCCATTTGTTTATTTTTAATTCCAAAGTGCATTACTTTGCATTTATCGACATTAAACCTCATCTGCCACATTAATGCCCCTCCCCCTATTTTATCCAGGTCCTCCTGTAATGTTATAGTGTCTAAGTCCGTGTCTATTACCCTCCCAATTTTGGTGTCATCCGCAAATCCGCAGATACACAAACTTCATATGTCCTATCCCTTTTATAGACCCCCCAAACAGTGACCCAGGCGACCGCTATGGGGCCCGGGGCACAGGGGGGCCCGGCCAGGACATTCCTGATGCCGTTTGGGTCGCTATGGCCTCTCATGCTGCTGGCTGCCGCTGGCGGCTGTGAAGAGGAACGCGAAGCTGTTCAGATCACGGACGGTGTTCGGTGCAGCAGCGCGTTCCTCTCCGCAGCCGCTGCTGAGTCAGTGAGAGTCAGCAGCGGCAGTGGAGGAGGCCGGACCTGGCAGTGGAGGATAAGGCGGGGCCAGGGGTCGGCAGCAGAGGAGGAGGCGGGGCCCGGTGATGGAGGAGGCGGGGCCCAGCAACTGAGGCGGGGCCCATCGGCGACCGTGGAGGAAGATGAGGCGGACGGCTAAAGATTGTGACCAGCCCACCATAGACTCTCTATGTCACCCTCAGGTGGGATCTCAAGTGGGCTCTGCAAGGGGTGTAACTAGAAATCTTAGGGCCCCATACAAAATTTTGCTATGGGGCCCCTGTGATTTTCTAGTTACACCTGCCTCCAACATCAGAAATATGCCTGTCAGCGTGCAAGAACCGCGCTCAGCTCTCAAGTCCTGTTGTGGCCTGACGGCATTTTTGTGGACTTTGAGTGGTGTCAGCTCTGCCTAGTTGTCTTTTGCAAAACTGCACAGCTGCTTCCACTCTCCCATCTGCACAATATAGACACTGCAGGGCTGATGTATAAACAATCCCCCCCCCCCCCCCCGCAAAATGTGGTTAAAAACGGCCGCACCTCCATTTT